TACACTGTGAGATCTCGTTTCAACACCGTTCTCTCCCCCTTTCTTGGCTTTTTATTTTGAGACAGGGTCTCACTGAGTTTATCTTATGGTGTGGAGTTTGCTGCCACTCTGGTAGGTCTCAACTTGTGATATTTTGCCTCAGACCTCTGAGTAGTTAGGATTATGGGCCTGTGCCACCTAATTTGGCCTTTCTCTCCCTTTTTTGGTGGTGTTGGGCACTGGATCCAGGGCTTTGTACACACTAGGTAAGCTCTCTACCATTGAGCTGACTTCTAGAAACCTCTGCAGTTTCTCTAAATGTTCAACATACTTTCCACATGACTCAGTGATTCTGTTCTAGGTATGAATTGCAAAATTTGAAAGCTTGTGACCATATAAAGTTTTGTGTGTAAATAAAGCTTTATTAAAAGTAGCCAAACTTATTAACACATGTGCAGGCAAAACATTTGTTCGCAGAAAATAAATAAGTCTTAAAAAGTAGCCAGATCTGGGGGTAGAGTTAACTTGCTGTACAAGCATGAGTACCTGAGCTCAAATCCCTTGCACATACAAAAGCCAGACATAAGCCAGGCATGGTGGTGTGCATCCATAAACTCAAGCTGAGAAGTGGGGGGCAGGGAGATCCTGGGTGCTAACTTGATAGCCAGTCTAGCTAAATCTGTGAGACTCAGGTTCAGTCAGAGAGCCTGTCTTAAAAAATAAATGGGGAAATAACTCAGAAATCTATGCTAACACCAGTGTTTGGTCTTAACTCATATTTGTAATAGCTAGCACACTTGCTCATCCATACATGGTGGGATTAGACATACATGGGGGAGTTAGTCATACTTGGGGGATTAGTCAAGCAAGAGAGGCATGGGGGAAATAGAGAATATTTAGGGACAACAGTTGATGACACAATTACCCACAGGGATGCCCTGACAAGGAGGTGGTCATGGGGTCCTGAGGTTGCAGGGGGCTGTGAAGGGCAGGAAGATAACTCCCTGCATGAGCTATCAATCCCCACAGAGCTAGTGAGTTAGGACCTCTGCTCCTCCACATGTCTGGATCTACTGTTTCTCACCACAATCCCACATCCAGGGAGAATTTCATAGATGCCCTTTTTAGGAGATGTGCAATGGTCATGTAAGTGTGACCCTCAGTGTGTCTGCAGACCAAACGACACTGAAGTAATGGCAGAAGACAGGGCACAAGAAATCTGCCTGGGCACTGTCCACCTATCTGCAGGGTGATTCAGGGAGCAGCATCCTGTGTGTGTACCCAGTCCTTCATCTCACAAAAATGATTCTAATTTCCACTTTGAACAGAAATAGAAAAGGATATATTTTCCTATTCATTAATTTGAATTCACTTTTCTCTCTTTGGCTGTAGAGTGCATTTTGCTTAACTTCTCTTTTAAAAAATACTTACCTATTTTTCATCCTGACCACAGTTTCCCTTCCCTCCTCTCCTCCCATTCTTCCTCCACCTCCTCTCTGTGTTCCCCATCCTCTGTTCCTGTTTCTATTCAGGAAATGTCAGCAGAATGACCTGGGGCTGTGATCTTCCTGCCTAGAGGACTTGGAGCAGGGATTCCAGGCTACAGGGTTGTGTCACATTGAAAATGGAGGGTAGATTGTTTTAAATGTCAAAGGTGGTAAAATACTATTTTCAGGGTCAATTGCTAAGGCCTGGGGCCTTCATGTTTCCTATAATTAATGTCCATGGTGGCCTAACCTGGGAGCTCTAAGTTCTACATTCTTTGGGTTTGTTTCCTGCCCCCATTACCATGTGCAAACTCAGTCTCCACCATTATGTCATGGGGGGAGGGTGTCTTAGGGTTATTGTGTTGTGATCAAATACCATGATCAAAGCAACTTGGGGAGCAAAGAGTTTATTTCACTTTTACATCCACATTACTGTTCATCATCTAAGGAGGTCAGGACAGGAATTCAAACAGGGCAGGAACTTGGAGGCAGGAGCTGATGCAGAGGCCATGGAAGAGAGTTGTTTACTAGCCTGCTCTATACGACTTGCTCAATCTGCTTTCTTATAGAATCCAGGATCACCAGCCCAGGGATGGCCTCACCCACAATGGGCTGTGCCTTCCTTGATCAATCACTAATTAAGAAAATGCCTTATAGCCCCTAGGCAGGATCTTCTGGAAGCATGATCTCAGTTGAGATTCCCTCCTTTCAGATAACTCCTAGCTTGGGTGAAGCCAGCATAGAAGAGTGTGTTGAGGTGAGCCTCGCCATAAGTGCAAAATCCTGGGGAATGGAATTGGTGGAATTGGTGCTATGACTTATTTTTCTTTAATATTTTAAAAAATTTAACTTCTTTATTGGTTATTTGGGAGTTTCACATCACACACTCCAATTATGCTTACTTCCCGGTTTCCCCATATCCTCCCTTCAACCCAGTAACACCCCAGAAAAGAATACAAAACCAAGCAAGCAAGCAAGCAAGCAAGCAAGCAAGCAAGCAAGCAAGCAAGCAAGCAAATGAAATAGGAACAAACAACAACCCCCCCCAAGCAACCACAAAATATACCCAACAACAACCAAAAACCTCTTTGCTTCTCCTTCTTTCCTGCCTCTCCAGCACCTCCTCATTCATCCTGGTGACACTGGAGGCCTTGGCGTGTCATACAGTATACCCTTTTGTCCTATCAGCCTTACTAGCAAACGTTCATTGCAATGAGTCCACTGGTCTGGTTCAAGGCCTTTGGTTTTGGTACACCATCATCAGCGGATCCTCACCAGAACTCCTCTGGAATAAATATCCTGTGGCCACCCCGACTCTTGGAGATTCTGTGTGTATTGTTCCACAGGACCAGTCCCTTCACAAACTTTAGCAGTCCTAGATGGGGTAGATGTTTGGGTGGGCCAATCTAAGGTCTGGCAGTGGGCCTGAGTGGTAGCTGGGCTGGTCAGCCTGGTCCACTAGGGCTTCCTACCTCTGGTGAGGAGGCAAAGTCAGTTCCCCTATGCTCTTAGTTCCACCTTGCCTGTGGTGAGGGGTGGGATCATCTCTCCCAAATGCAGGGACCAGCTCTCTCATCAGATCAGGGCCAGCTCTCTTGCTATAGTAGTAAGAAGCAAGGCCAACTTTCCCATAGTCAGCAAAGGATCGAGGCAGACTCAGCATGGCCCTCTGATTCCATCTCATATGGTTCCTAAGGCCCCCTGAAATGACACAGGCCACAGACATCCACACAGACCCCCCCCCACTGTGGCTGGACCAGGGACTGAGATATGACCCTCGATAGCAGCTTGGGCTGGACAAAATCCTGGTTCTGGGTGGAAACAGTGGCCGTGCAGGTAGGGATGGTTCTATCTGATCCAGACACCACCAAGGCCTCAGGTTGTGACCCCAACCCTGACCTTCTGTGTGACCTCAGTGACAATACAGAACCTAGATTTCAGCAAAGAACCCAGATGTGGCAGGACCATAGACCAGACATTGTCCTCAGGCAGCAGCAGGGTCTGGATGTCCCAGGTGACAGTGAAGGCCACTCAGATCTGCTCAGGCCCCAGCAGCAGTATGGCCCTCAGACACAAACAGATTCGACTCCTGATCTCAGGTGTCTTCACAGTCTTCAGTGTTAACAGGAGCCCCAGACATCAGTACATACCCTGGCTGCAGTAGGGCCAACAGACCCAGACATGACCCTCAGCAGTGTCTTGGGCCCAGATAACACCATAGCCCCAGGTGGCAGCAAACCCAGGTGTGTTTGGCCCCTGGTGTGGCATTGCTTCCAGACTCCAACCAGGCTGCAGGCTCTGGCCTATAACCAGTGCCTCTGTGTGGCCTAGCAGATCCAACTAGTGGGATCTTACAGACTCCAGCTGCTGCTTGGTCATGGACCCAGACATGGCCCCAGGTAGCAGCTAGGCTTTGTCCATGTCCTAGTTCTAGGTGGTAGCCTAGGCCACTCAGATCAGGATGGCTCTGCAGCAGCGTGGCCCCCTGAATGCCTACAAGGCCACAGGTTTGAGCCAGACCCCAGACTTCTTATGGTCTTTGTTGAGAACAGGGGCCATGGACATCAACAGAGACCTCTAGGCTGCAGTAGGACCATGAACCCAGACATGGTCCGCTGAAGTAGCTTGGCCCCCTGGATGCAAACCCTGCCCCATGCGGCAGCCAAGACCACTGGAATCAGCATGGCCCTTGATGGCAACAGGAGCCATGGACATCAACACAGATCCTGGTTGCTGTGGGACCAGGACCAAGACATGGCCCTTGGCAGCAGATCAGCCCTGACATCATCATCTGGCCCCAGGTGTCAAGCAGACCTCCTCCATCATCCTACTCCTCTCCACCTTCACCATGGCCCCAGGTGGCATGCAGACCTCCAACACCAGCCCACTCCTTACTGTCTTCATTTCTTTTCTGACTCTTTGCACAGTGCATGAACCACATGAACCATTCCCCTTCATTTTCTCTCCCATTCTTCATCACATTCGCTTATCATAATGAGGCTCATGGGTGGACTGATGGGTGTCTTCCCTGCCAGTAAGGGCTTGGGATGCCAGCTGGCTAATCCCTATTTGAGTGGAACTTGATCAGGTGTGGGTGGGGGTTGCGGTGGGTGTATTCCCACTAGCCCTGTGTTATGACTTATTATTAGATAATACCGGTCCGGTCAAGTTCCATGTGCTAACCGCTTTACCGGCATCGTGGAAACAGTGATAAGTGATGGAATCTCTATGAGGTGGGGCCTGATGGTATGTAATTAGGTCCTGGATTCACTGCTCTTACTTGGATTAGTGCAGTTTCAATAAGCCTCAGTGGTCCCGCTGTTAAATAGTGCGAACAGCTCACATGTTCCCCTTTTTGGCCATTTCCCTTTCTGCACTCTGCTTTGTTGTGAGGCAGTCCAGTGTGTTCTCATCAGTGTCATATTAAGTGGAGGTATCCAATCTTAGAGTTTTCTGTCTTAAAACGGAATTTAGAGAAAGTCTTTCTTTTTAAAAAGTATTTTATTGTCTTTTTTTTAAACATTTATTTGTGTGTGTGTGTGCACCATAGAACCACAAAACATATGTGAAGGTCAGAGGACAATGTGGGAAGTCAGTTCTCTCCTATTGTGTGGGTCCTGGGAATCAAATTCATGTTGTTATGCTTGATGGCTTGTACCCTTAACTCTGAGCCATCTTAGCTCAGAAACTCTTCTTCTTGTATGTTATTGGCTAAGATCTTCTGTTATAACAATAGAGGATGAGCTAATATGGGGCTTATATGAATTGGGCCTGTAGAAACTTGTTTTTAGGAATAGAGCCTAAAGGAATATTTTAATATGAATGGAGCCTATGGGAACTTGTTTTCTGGCTCAGGGTGGAAGGGCAAAGTACTACCCACAATTCAGAGAGTAATTCCTTGTTTGATATCAAATTGGTGTCACCACCACCAGAACTTTCAGCTTCCAGATAGCAATGAATTTCTGTTGTGTTGAAGCCACCTCACTGTGATAATAGTGTGATTGCTCCATAATGAACTCTTGGGGCTTTTACTATGTTCTTTTAAAGTTTGTCCCTATATATTAGAGAACAAGATCTTGCTGAGATGTGAAAAAGGAATTCAGTCACTCATATTGGAATCCTCACCAAGGTACAACACTGAGATGTGAAAGGAGAGGAAAGGAGGTGGGCAGAGGTAAGGTAAGAGAGGGAGGGACATGTGCCTACTGCAGCATGGAAGAAGGTATTGTCTACTGGGATTCCCCCATCAATAGCCTCCTGTATGCTTGCTGTGTGTAACAGAAGTGACTCATATCAGTCTTAGTAGGGAACATATGTCATGTAGAGGATACTTCACAATTGTTGGGTGTATGAACCTGATGACTACATAAAAGTGTGGATCCCTTATATCTCTTCTTAAGGTGTTTGGAAACCTCAGAATAAACCCACTTGAACTCAGGACAAGCTGCAACTTGACTCAAGGTGCTACAATTCTCCATTCCTGCCCTCAACCTCTTTTAGCTCCTGGATCTTCTGGGGCAGAGTCCTGGTCCAGAACTGCAGCTTTCCAGCCTTCGGGGCCCGGCCCACAGAAGGCTGGATGTCCAGCTTCAGGTATTTCTCATCATGGTCAAACATGGGCCAGGTAGGCAGGCCTTTACTGTTGGGGTTCCTGTGGACAAATCCTCCCAGTAGGGAGAGCAAAGGTTACTTTAGGCTCTGCTGAACTTGAACCATAGCCTCTGATTTGGAATTATGAGAATCTAGAGGTAGGTGTACTGATGTAGGGAAACAAGATCTTACTATTTTGTCTGTTCCATGAGGAACAAAGATACCTGGCCTGATTCTCTCTCTTCTTTCAGAGACATGCTCTAAAGAATAGTACCACAACACTATGACTCGGCATCTATGTCACTGAGTGATGATCAGCAAACAGCACCTACAATTTTGTCTAAGTGGATTCTGAGGTGGGGATGAGGAGGGGATGTTATGAAAGACCCATGACTGCCAATGAAACCACTGACCACTAACAACCTTAGAGGTTAAGGGAGGGGGCGTGTTCTCACCCATGTCGTGCAAAGTTGGCCCAGTACTTCATCATCATCCTGCTCAGCAACTCCTCTTCCTCAGTGAGGTCAACTGCAGAGAGATGGCATGTAAGGGTCTGGACTCCTGCTTTTGATGCAGCTGCTCACTCATGCTCTACACTCACCATCTCAGCTGTAGTCTACTCTTGGGCCTAGTCCCTTCCTTCCTTTCCTGCCACCCATAATCCACTTCCTGTACCTGCACGTTCTGTCTTACTTAACCCAGACTCTGATTTCTACTCCCTTGGGTTCATTCATGCTTCAGAATGTCCTCCTTCCTTTTGATCAAAGGAAGTTGGGGATAATCACACCTTTAGAATACCCTTCTCATAGTAGGAGTTGTAGTGCTTGCCTCTAATGTCAGCACTTAGAATATTGGGACAGGAGAATTGTCATGAATTATGGGCTACACAGGGAGACCTTGCCTCAAAAAGTCAAAACAAGCAAATAAACAAATAGTATAAAACAACCCATTCAATCACATTGCCTGATTCAATGGCCCTTGCATGTAGGGACAGCTGGAGGAAACACAGCCTAGAATGGGAAGGGGTTGGGTTTCTAATCTCACATCAGCCTTTTGAGATACATCATGGTACACAAGCTATGTTGTGTTTACTCTGAACCTCAGTTTCCCCATCTGAATATGCCTGAGGGGCCTGCAGCCTGGGGAATAAAAAAGACTCACCTTGGGTGCCCCCCAAAATGATCTGAAGACGAAGAGTATCTCATCACCATGGTCAGCCTTCACATTGGATGGCTTGGAGTCCTTGAAGAAGTTGGGCCGATGCTGGAACTCATAGAAGTATACAGGGGCATGGGAACCTGGAGGCAAAGACAGGCTGAGAAAGAGGATCCTTGCCTCAGGATGTCCTTCCTCAACTGTGATGATAAGATAGCTAGTTGGATTGAGGGATAAAACTGGTAGAGCTTGGATAGTGTATGCAACCCCATGCTTAAGCAGAGGCAGAGGGAGAGACTTGGTTAAATCATGGTCTTGGAAATCTTTGCTATACAGCGTTTTAATATTGTTGCCAGTTAGCTTCTCATAAGTAAAATCTGGAAGATTCCCATATATTAGTCAATTCCCAAGATTTTACTTAGATGAGGATTATTAAATGTCAGTTATCAGAGGTCCAATATAGACATGGATGGGGATCTGGACACCCCAGGGTTCAAACTGTGCACCATAGTTTTGAGTTGCTTCTAGGCATCAGGCCTCAGTTCCAGATGTACTCACGCTGAAAATGTGCTACTTGCAATGCAGGGATCACAAAGATGAAGTCTTCCATCATCTCCTTGAACTGCATTTGGAGAAGCTGAGGGTCCTCATTGTTCCCCATGTATTCCTCCATCAGCAGGTCACTAAATTCAGGAGGCCACATCTAGCCCGGAGGGATAAGGAATAGTCATGTTAGACAGGCCCTGGGGCAGTGAGGCCGTAGCCTCAACATGGAGAGTAGGTGAAATCAAGAAAGGTCCAGATCTGGGGACACTCAAACCACCAGTGCCATCATGGTTAAGTTTGTTCCTGCAGTTTGCTGCATGAGCACGATACAATGGAAGTACCCTTTGCTTTACTTACAGTACCCCAGAAGTCTCACCATCTGTGCTGCCCTTCTCTGCAGGATAGCTTGCACGGTCTGTCTGTCTATTTCCTTTTGGGAGTCAGTAGTGCTCATGCTCTAAGTGGTAAGAGGAGAGTCTGGGTTGTGGTCAAGTTCACATGGAGCTATAGGGTGGGTTGGTGATATTTATGATTTATTAAAGCTTGCCTGAAGATCAGAGAAACAAAGCAGCCAAGTCAGTAGATCTTACCTCTACCAAGATGAAATGGCAATCCCATCTCCATGAATCATCAGAGGCAAAACATCTCAATTCCTGTCTCCTCCTGCCTAATATTTCTTGCTTTGCCCAGTGATATCACTCCTGTCTCCACCTTCCTAGTGCTGGGATTAAAGGTGTGTGATCCCAAGTTCAGGGACAAAATGCATGAGCTCTGTTACTCTTCACTCTTGTGTAGGTCATGGTGGCCTTGAACTCAGACAGATCCCTCCATCTCCTGAGTCCTAGGATTAAAGGTGTGTGCCACCACTGCCTGGCTCTATGGCTTACTAGTATGGCTGCTGGTATTAAAGGTATGTATCACTGTTGCCTGGATCTATGGCTTGTGGCTAGCTATGCTTTCTGTACCCTCAGGCAAGCTTTAATAAACCATTAACAATATATCACAACAGGGTAGGATTATCAGAGACCAAGTGCCATGGGCCTGGGTCTTACCGAGGGGATGATCCAGCCATACTCATCATTATTGACACCAATAATGCTGGGGACAAACTGGAAGTCAGCAGAGGCCAGCAACTCCTTGGGATGCTTGGGCAGGAAGATACCATCCACTATGCCAGGAATGATCTTGAAGGCCTGAAGGGACATTGGCTGTTAAGGAGGAAGGTCAGGTCCTTGACAATTCTGATGTTAGGGTATAGTTGCCTACTCCTGCCTGTCTCATCCAGGATTGACACATTTGGTGTATGAGATCCTACAGCTGGTTTACCATATCCTGCTGTTCAGATCTCTTCCTGGGTGCTAGGTTATGAAGGAAGGAGTGAAGTCAGTGTCCAGAGAGTTGAAGGCTACCTAGGATAGGCTACCTTATTCCCTGTTGCCCCTCCATCTACCATTCACTCCAACCTTGTTTATAGCCATAATCTCCTCTTCACTCTTGTCTCGTAGACAGCTCACCACAGCTTCTGAGTCCACCTGCTCACATCCAGACAGGTTGGCAACCATCTATAAAGGCATCAGGCATGGGATGGCCCAGAATTCCAGGCAGGGAAAGATTTTTTCAAGGTCCCACATGAGTTGTGGTGTCCCTCAAATCTCATAAGGTACATAGGTAGGTAGATTAAAGCAGGTGTGAAATTATTTCTGTTTTACTTAATGTTTAGATATGACAGCCAGAGGAGCTATCACACCTGATGACATGCTTTGCTTATGACATCAGGAATCCCCATTGCTTTATGGCATACAAAGCCAGCGTGTGACAGAAGAGAGTAGAATTTAACTTTTAGCTCTCCATAAATTCAAGTTCAAGAGGCAGCTGCCTGGGTATGTCCATGGTCCCTGTCCACATTGGTCACACAGAGAACGGGGATTCTGAGGGTGAAAGCTGAGGCGGCAGCTCAGGGTTGGAGTAGTTGGGGGCACTCACTCTGTATACTACTTCATAGGATTTTGAGATGAGGCTTGACATCAGGGCCACTCCACTCTCCATGATGGCTCTGTGGAAGAGTCCTTGGGACATGGGGGATACTACATGGGATGACACACTAGTGCCTCCTGCAGACTCGCCAAAAATGGTGACCTGGTCAGGGTTGCCTCCAAAGTGAGCAATATTCTGCTGGACCCAGCGTAGGGCAGCTACTTGGTCCAGGTATCCCCAGTTGCCTCTAGCATGACGGTCTCCAGTGCTGAAAAGTGGAAGGGACAGGAATCATAGGGCCGTATTTATTCTTCTCTGTCCCCATTGCTCAGCCCAGCCCAGCCCCAGACTCACCTGAAGAAGCCTAGGATACCCAAGCGGTACTGGATAGTGACCACTACCACATCCTCAATGGCTGCCAGCATGGATCCATCATACAAGGAAGCCATGCCTATAACCAGTGCACCACCATGGATCCATACCATCACCTGGAGAAGTCAAGATAGGTGCCATGGGTCTGCCATATAGCTCTGCTGGGCCTCCCTTCAGAGCTACTACAACTTCTTCTTTGAGCAGCAGTCCACATAGACAAATGCCCAGTGGGACATATTGGTATTTCTGTGGGTGAGGGGTTCAACTATAGTCATGGACACATGCCTTCCTCTCTATTTGGAGTCCACTCCAGCATCAAAGCCTGACTGCAATATTCACAGAAAGTTTTATGGGGGAATAATAGGGATTATTTCTTTTACTATGTCCCATGAAAATTAATCAAACATGTTTCTTTTTTTAAGAATTGTTTTTATTTTAAGTTTAAGTGGTGATTTTCCTGCATATTTGTCTGTGGTAGGGTGTCAGAAGCCCTGGAAGTGGAGTTACAGACAGGTGTGGGCTGCCATGTGGGTGCTGGCAATTGAACCTGGGTCCTCTGGAAGAGCAGCCAGTGCTCTTAACCACTGAGACTTCTCTCCAGTTCTCAGAAGTGCTCTTAAGTCTCATCAATTCTATGAAAATTTGTGGCTATGTCTTTGGTGAGTTCAATGTGCTGGAGGTGAGTTCAATATCTAGACACAATTGGTAGTTGGATAGATTTTAGGAAGAGAGTTCTCAACAGGGTTCACTGCAGCATGGCCCAGGTGATTGAATCTTTCTCTAAACAAATGTACTCTTATCCCCAAAATGAGCATGACTTGACACTCACAGGCAGGTTGGAACCTTCATGGGCATGATCTGGTGTATAGATGTTAAGGTACAGGCAGTCCTCAGACATGGGTATGGGAGGCAAGGTCAGCTTCAACAGCTTACGAGCCTGCATGTTCATTGCAGTGATGTCCTGTAGACACCTGGTGAACCACCATGGCAGACAGTCAGCCCCACGGACATTAGAGTACCCAGAAACAGATCCTCAGGGAAAAATGCTTCCAAATATCCCTACACACTTCCTTCCTGATATCTTGATTACACACATCATTCTATAAGTTCCTGCCCATCCAGGCCAGATTATGGGCTCTGGATAAGCTGAGATGTAGTCCAGGCTTCCAGTGAGGTCTCAAGTTTGCTGAGGGGCTTGGATCCTACTCCTCCTGAGGGTAGGAAATCATGACCTGTAGGATTCCTTTAGACAACCTTTGACTGAAGGCATTGACATTTACCATTTATCCCACTAGCCAACCAGTTCTTAAACAGGACAGCTGTCTTACACTGGAGTTCATGAATGAGTGGAGGCTAGGTTCCCATAGGATAGTGGGGACCTTTGTCATTCCAAGTCCTGTTCTTGGGATCCCCATCTCTTCCATAATCTCCAGTTAGAACCTATTGTGACATCTTGAATACCAACTTGATGTGATTTAGAATCACCATGGAAACACACCTCTAGGCTTGTTTGTGAGGGTCTTTCTAGATTACATTATTTGAGACAGGAAGATATGGCCTAGAAGTGGACTGTACTGCTCTGTTGCCTGGTGCCTTGAACTGAATGGAAAACAGATCGTAAGTTGAGCATCAGCAACCATTTCTCTCTCTCTGCTCCTCACTATTGGTGTAATGTGATGTGGCAAGTCACCCATGACTTTGCCACCATATCAGCATTCCCCTTGAATTAAATTCCAAAGTAAACTCTTCCTTGTTGAGTTGCTTTTGCTGTGTATTTTCCCCCAGCAATAAGAAAAGTACCTTATATACATACATACTTATTTCTTGCCCAGTGACATGTAGCCCAGTATTGCACAGTGGCGATGGAAGGTGGAATTAGCAAGGAGCTACCATTGTCCTCTCCAAAGACCTAGTTTCCGATGCTGTTAGTTGGAGTTCTTACAGGTTCTAAGAGTCAACCTAACCCTCTCCCAGAGACCCTTCCTTGGATGTTAGAGAACAGTAGAAATAGTCTGATCAATGCCATCCGGATGACAAGCCCTGAACTAAGAGGTTGGCAGAGTCATCTTACCCATTTAATATTAGTCAGTATTCCTGAAAACACTCTTGGGAATCCCCCTGAATAGTGGGAAAATGCTGTGAGCTTGAGATGAGGAACCACTGCTATCTGTTCCAGGGTTCAGAGTCCTCACCAATCCCAGGGCCTCAGGAGAACTTACATGGCTGGATAGGAGGTCCCATTCTTCACACCACTCCACGGGTCAGGTGGCTCAGGGGGTCCAAAACGCAGTGGTCCTACAGGTGGTTTGGCAAAGGGAATTCCCAGGAAAGTATGGACACCCCCTTCTAGGCCCTTCATGTGGACAAGGCTGCCTTGTATCTGTCCTGTGTGTGTGGTCCTGATGGGTCTGGCTGAGTCTTGTCCTGTGGATGGAGAAGTAACCTCAGGACTGGCCCACACAATCAGCTGCCACCACAGTAAGAGTTTCTTTCTTCATTTCCTTGTCACCCACATCATAGCCTTTTCCAAGGACCAAGGACAGCAAACATTACTTTCATACACTTCCTGTTTGTCACAGTGGCCTCATGTCACCATTCTTCATGACTCTTCAGTATTGAGTGCCAAGATTTGGGGATACATTGGGAGAATTTTGATTAATGAAAAACCACTGAAGTGAACCCTGATGTGGGTAGTTTTGATATTTTAACTGTATCTCTAAGGTTGTGATACAATGGTGACCTGCTTTCAAGATACAGTGTTGCAGTAGTAGCTCAACAGTTGTGTGAATACCCAACTATTACTGTGTGATTGGATTTAAGGCCCAGTCCATGAGATGGAACCCATGCCAGAAACTGTTTGGGTAGCCTAGAACCTGAGAGTAGATAGCCTATGTACCTAGTGGAAAACCAAATTCTATTCTTCAGGAAATAGCAATAAAATGATCCTAATTTCATTCAACTGTACATATCATTAGAGAAGTTTCCTTCTGCAGTATGGGAATAAATGAATTGAACCACAACTGTACAGTGTGCAGACAGGGGGAGAGAGAGAGAGAGAGAGAGAGAGAGAGAGAGAGAGAGAGAGAGAGAGAGAGAGAGAGAGAGAGAGAGACACCTTGGAGCACTCTGTCCTAAATAATATGTCTCCATCAAATAATCTCCCCTCATGGCTCAGGAAACTCTGCAGGAGAGAAAGCAATAAGATATCAAGTCCAATGGGGATGAAAGAAGGCCTGGACAGTCTAAGGAACCACTGACAGTGGAACCAGGACGTATCCCTGGTGCACAAAAGGACTTTGGGAGCACATTCCCCATGGAGGGATACTCCCTTAACCTAGAGACAGGAGGGAGGGCTTAGTCCCTACTCCAAATGACTTGCCAGATTTAGATGTCCCCTCCTGGAAGGCATCACCCTACATGTGGAATGAAGGGGGAATGGGATGGGAGGGTGTTCAGGGGCGTGTGGGAGGGTGGAAGAGAGGGAGGAAAAGGGAACTGGGATCAATATGTAAAATAAGAGTTAAAAAAAAAAAGAAATAAGGCCATCTAGACACAACAGGATTGACAGTCACATGAACTCACAGAGAGTGTGGGAGCAGGTACAGGGTCTTCTCAAGTCTAAGTCAGATGGGGCCCCGGCACTGCGAGGGCAAGTTGACACAAACCCCTATCTCTAACCCAGAAAATATCTCCAATTAGTAATCACTCACAAAGGAAAAAATAGCTTTCTCAATGGAGTCCTATTGGGCATACAAACCACACTTTTGTATGCCTGGCAGTAGATGTCCAACACAAAATGAATGCAATGGAATTTTTGTACTAGTTTTCCCTCTCATAACGCTTTCTGTCTCTCTCTGTTTCAACCTTAAGGGTCTTTTGCTTATATATTACAGTTTTCAGTTTTGTGTTTTTATGGGATTTCAGTGTGTTTCAATATGTGTGTCATTGTGTTATATGTGTAGGGTTTTTTATTTGGCTCTCATTTTTCCTGTTAGATTGTTTTGTCTTGTTCATGTTTGTTTTAACAACAACAACAACAACAACAAAATCATCATCATTATTAGATGGATGTTTGTTTTCTAATGAGAAAGAAAGAGAGCAAAGAGTGTGGGTTTGGGTGGGTAGGGGAGGATCTGGGAGGAGTTTAAGGAGCAGAAATTATAATCATAATATATTGCATGAAAAAATCCATTTTCAATAAAAAATTAAGAAGGGCAAATTAGAATAAAAACCCATAAACATATCTAGTAATTTATAAAGTCTTGCTCTTACACAAATATAATTAAAACACCTTGTATTAATATTGTTTGAAATGGGTATACAGCACCAATTGACTAAGGTGAGTATGTAGAAACAGCCTTTAAACCCAGCACCTGTCCTGGGGCTGAAGAAAGAAGATGGAGAGTTTGAGGCTACCTGGGCTACATTCCTCAGACTCCACATCAATCATCCCCAACCATGAAGCACCACAAGTGCTTGAAGTGTGTATCAGTGTTCCAGTGCTTGCCAATAATACACGAGGTCTTGATTTTTAACCTTAGGACTACAGAAAGAACAAACAAACAAGAAAACAAACAACAGAACATATATGTTCTGTTCAAGATGGCACCTGCTTATAACTCCATCACTTGGAGGGATGACCAAGGAGGATTCAAAAGTGTGAGACAAATAATTCACACTGCCAGAGAAACTAGGATACAAGGAGGATTCTAAGAGATTCATATAAGGTCCCTCACAGAAGGGGAAAGGAACAAGATCTCCTGAGCATATTGGGAGTGTGGGGGCAGTGAGTGGAGAGGGAACTAGGAGAAAGAGAAGGGGAGGAGAGAAAAGCAAGTGGGACTAGGAAGATTGAGTCAGGGGAGGAATAGATAAGGGAAAAAGAGAGAGAGAGAGAGAGAGAGAGAGAGAGAGAGAGCATAAAAGAGGGAGCCATTATAGGTTTGAAGAGAAAACTGAACCTAGCGTAATGTCCAGAGACCTACAAGACTTACCCCATTTAACAATTTGAGCAACAGTGGAAAGGCCCTTCCCTATTTATGAGGTCAATGACTACCTTATCTACCATCATAGAGCCCTCATCTAGTAGCTGATGGAAACAGAAGCAGACACCCACAACTAAAGACTGAGCCGAATTGGAATCCAGATGCAGACAGGGAGGACAAGACCAGGGTTCAGAAATCCACAGAAACAGCTGACCTGAACAAGGAGGAGCTAATGGGCCCCCAGATTCACAGCTGGGAAACCAGCATTGGACTGTTTTAGACCCCGTGAACATGGGGGCCTGAGCCGTGGAACCAGGATGTATCCCAGGTGGACAAAGGACTTTGGGAGCACATTCCCCATGGAGGGATACTCTCTTAACCTAGAGACAGGAGAGAGGGCCTAGTCCCTACTCCAAATGACTTGACAGATTTAGATGACCCATCCTGGAAGGCATCACCCTACCTTGGAGTGGGGGGTGGGATGGGAGGAGAGGGAGGTCGGGGGGCATGAGAGGGTGCGAGAGAGGGAAAGATGGAGGGAGGGAGGGAGAAGGAACTGGGATCAATATGTAAAATAAAAATAAAAATTAAATAAAAAAAAGTGTGAGGCAAGCATGGACACAAAACAAAAAATTAGAAGAGAAAATTTATTACAGTGAGAATTACCTGTTGAAACATCTAACTGTCTACTTATCTATCTATGTAACTATAATCTATCATCTGTCAGTTTTTCCTTCTCCTTTCCTATCTTCACAGAGAATATTACCATATGTGGTAATTGTGGTTTGCATCAAATAATGGCAAAAAGAATATGTTGCAATCCAAGTACCTCTAGGTTGTTCCACACCTGAAATGATTGAAGATGGATTTTGGGCACTGTTGCTTCATTAATTGTTTCTTCCCGTCTTAGGACACCTCATTCCTCTATGTACAGGCCTGAGGCAGCTCCCACGCACTATGTGCTTTGCTGGAGGGTGGGTGGTGTTGAGGGTGGGGGTGGGGATGTATTCTGGCAGGGCACCTTCCCTTGCTATTGCTTCCTCCTTAACTACTCACTTCTCTTGAACCTTCTGTCTAGTTTTTCTGGTTCACTTGTATAGAATTGGCTGATCTAAGCCAAAATTTACTGGGGGGAAACAAAGAACCCTGGGAGCTATTGCTACATCACTCATTATAGTTCCACATGGATCAACCAGTTTCAAGTCACCTGCTACAAGAAAGGCCAGTATTGGCAGGCACCCATGGATGTTAGGGAGGGCAAGCTTGTGCTGTGTCTCTGTTGTGACTTGGATGTGGTTCATTTGCTGAAAGTGGCAGCGCTGAGGTGGTAGATCTGTTGAGAGTCAGGATAGTGGAGGATGGTTGGATTGTGGTTGGCCTTGAAAAGGCTTTATGCTGGTCTTTTGGAATTATTTAAACTCACAGCAATGGGCTACTTTCTTTGAAATTGGCAGCATATTGTAATCAGAGTCAGCTTGGCCCTATTGGCTGATCCCTGGCTATATCGTTCATCCACAGAATGTCAATGGTACGAGTTGTGACAAGGCTCCAAGTCCATTGCCAGAGGCTCTCCAGAGAGTACCACTCACCATGGATTTTCTGCCTTCAATTCTATGAATTAAAGAAGCCATTTTTAATACATTATCTAGTGTTGGTCATTTTGTAACAGCAATTCAAAACAAGTATGAGGTTGGTTCATACCAATACCTAAATATATGGAAATGTGATTGGAGCACAATAGTGGCCAAACATTTGAAGGAAGTGGAGGGACAATCTGTAAGTGTCCTATTTTACTGTACAGTGAACATTATAAGTTTTTATGGTGAGGGCTCTGATGACAAAAGACTAGTTAGGATCTTGCACTTCATAGATAGTTTACATGGTCATTTCCAGAATGTTGCTTATAGCAATGCTGAAGGAAAGACAGAGTAATAAAGTTCCATAAAAAGTGAGAACCATCCCCCTGTGAAATAGAGTGTAGGCCACCTGTGTCACAGTATTATGAAGAAGTTGAGTGCAAAGCATCCATACTCTAAAGCTCATAGGTAGTCAACTTTAAGCATGATGCCCAAAAGTGTTTAGAGAAAGAAAATTTGAAGTAAACAATGTAGGGAACCGTGTGAGTCTTCTGGGCCATATCCAGTGAAATTCACTATAATCCCTGGAGAGGGAGGCAGAGCTTATAAATCTGAAAATTCATATCATGTCAATGGGAAGAGCAAAAAGGACTTTGGTAAGAATTTGAAGGCATAAAAGAAAATACTATGGGTGGAAGGAAGACAGGCTCAGAAGAATGCCCCAGAATAATGGGAAAGACACTCTGGAGACTTCATAGAAATCTTCCATTTTGCCAACAGCTTTCTCCTATCACTTACTTATCACAAGCAGAGAGGATTGAAGGTTTGGGAAGGAATGAGTGCACTTCACAAGCTTCTTGTTCAGGGTAGCTTTAGGATTCTGCTTTTGCTTTCTGGTACAATGCTGTACATCTGCTCTAGCCATGGTTAGGGTTGGCTCTTGACACTGATCTAAAGGGGTCAAATAGCATGTCTTGGGGGGGGGATTTACATGGCACTAAGGTGTTGGATACAGAATCAAAGGACATAGCAGATACCACTGGGATTTTTAAGAAGAATGTGGGAGGCTCCACCCCAGTAGCACTGCAAACACTTCACACCATAATACTTTGTGAGCTGTGAATATGGTACCATGGCTATTGAGATTCCAGAATTGTACAAATACAGGCTATTGGCAGCATCAGCCTATGAAAGGCAGGAGGCAAACGTATGCACCTTGAGAGAGCAACTAGGTAGGCTGCAGCCAGAGGGCTGTTTAGAATGAAAATAGTCTCCATAGGTTCTGATATTTGGATATTTTGTCCCAAGTTGATTGTTCTATCCAAATACTTTTGCAAGGCCTGGCCTTGATGGAGGAAGTCACTTAGGGTAGATATGAGGTTTCAAATCTATGTACCATTCCTATTTTCACTTTCTTGTAGTTTGAGATGTAAGCTCTGTGCTGTATGTGTGGGTGACTACCGTGCTGTCCTCACTATTCTGGACTTGTGTCTTTCTGGAACCATAAGACCAAATAAACCTTTCTTCCTCAAATTACCTTGATTGAGGTGTTTCATCACAGAAAGAAAAAAGTAACCAATACTGCAAGAAGTGTCACATGACAGGGGTGGGTGCACCTGAGTTGTCATAGCTCACTGTATGCTCTCATGCCGCAGCATTTCAGACATGTAGTTTGAGAGTTCATTTCTCTTGCTTGGGCCCTGACTTTCTTTTCTATTTGTCTGTTGATCCTTTTTGCATTGGGAATGTCCTAGTCAGGTTTCTATTGCTGTGAAGACACCATGACTGAAGGGAATTTAGAGGAGAGAAGGGTTCATTTCATCTTACAGATTACAGTCCTGAAGGAAAAGCAGGATAGCAACTGAAGCAGAGGCCGTGGAAGAATACTGTTTACTGTTTTTTTTTTTCTCCATGGCTTGCTTAGTCTACTTTCTCATGACAAAGGACCACCAGTCCAGGGGGTTGTTACTCATGATGGCCCTGGCCCTCCCACATTAATGATTAATGAAGAAAATGCTCCCACAGACTTTCTTACAGGTCAATTCTCCTGGAATTGATTTCTCAGTAGTATAGGATTGTGTCAGATTGACAAAATCCAATCAGAACAATATTCATTTTTAAAACCACCAAGCTTGGATTTTAATTGAAAATCTCTCAGCTATAAGAGGGTTTCCTTGAAATTCACATGGCACTTGGGACTTTGACTTTGGAATCATGATCATAGGAGTTAAGTCTTTGGAACTGAAAGCATGGAATGAACATATTTTGCAGTGTCAGACAGACATGAATCTGGGGACTAAAATGAAATGCACTGATTTGTATATGTTTTTGTTCCCTCTCCCCCTGCAAAGATTCAAGTACTCAATGCTTACTGTAGGGTGCTGCTGTTGAGATTATGGAACCTTTAAGAACTATGGCCCAGTGGGAGGTGACTGAGTCATGGGAGCCCTCATACAGGGGTTACTGCTGGATTTTGAAAGAAGTTAGTTCTTGTGTTCAGAGTGAAGGAGTGTCAGACAAGAGTGACTGTGACCATTCCCAGGGTGTATTGCTTCTTTCACCGTGTGATCTCTCTCATATGACATACTGTGCAATGCCATTGGCATAGCTAGAAGGCCCCGAGGAGATCACAGATATTCAAACTCTAAATTGCAATCTGAACAAAGGCACTTCCTTTGATCACTGTGTGGCTTCAGGTGTTTTGGCAGGGCTATCCAGTCCACTAGGATGTCCAAGTCAAATCCACCTTCTCCTCTTTCACATGCTGCTGACACTGTTTCATGTGGAATGAGATCTCTGTTCATGTGAGTTCATTTCAGTTACCAGCTATTGAGGCCTCATGTCCATTGTTTTAGCAATGGACAAGAATGTGATATAATATACATGATCTGAGATTTGTTGTATTAACTGATTGTTTTTGAAGTGAAGCCTCCATTGAATGGTTTTGGGAGCGCTAAAATGTAGCAGTGTGTGGTGATCTCCCTGTTAGGAGGAGTTAAATTGTGGTGCCATAAATGGAGTGTTGTTGAAATCAAGGGCCAAAGCCTTCCTGTGTTCTTAGACAAACTTCTGGGCCCTCTGTATAAGGCCCAGGGACATTGATGCTTCCTGTAGACGAACCACGATTAGAGAGAAGGATCCACATTTGTGCCCTCCTATGACTTGTTAATGGTGCTTCCTGGTATAGGCTCAACTCAATCACTTCATAAAATGGGGGCCATTAGAGAGGGTAGGCAGATCTCTTACCTGGAAGGTCCTGGTGACTTTTGAGAGCAATGTCACATGAGGCGAAAGAGAGAAAGGCCTTTGGAGGTACGGCATGAAGAATAGGCATGTGGAAATTGGAAAGTTGGAATAGGGGTGACAAGACATAGGGCCTTCAGCAGGAGCCCTAGAGAGGAGAGTATAAAGACTGAGGGTCGTGTTCTGGAATTCTATCCACTTAACTCCAAACTAGGTGGATACTGCTTGGCAGGCACAGAGTGCTATCATCTTTCTCCTGTAAGCCAAGTCACACAGTTGCCCCATGCTAGGCCAGAGAGGTGATGTAAAAAATCACCCTGGGTCCTCTCAGAGCCCATTTCACGTGCAGGATTGAGCTCCGGTATCTGTAAGAGTCAGGAGCTTTACTTGAATATCTTCGAGAAAGCCATGCTACTCCTCTGGCCAAAGAAATCCTACATCAGAGTGAAATGGCCATGGAGGGTATCATCATGATGTTTAGTATGTGCACATAGCTCCAGCTCCCCCCCCTCAAGCCAGGAGGGAATGTCCTGACTTACTATTTACACCCTGCTTGTTGTCCAGTCTTGCTTATCTGTCATTCTTCAAAACACTCTCATTCTGAGCTCCTTCCTTGAAGGTTGGCATCTTTAGGTAGCCTCTCTGCTCTATGAATTAGAATGCCCTCTCTGACTATGGGGGAAGCCTAATAAAAGTGCAGGGTTTCTGAGCAATGAACCCCACCGTTTCAGACATCCATTCCCCTTTCATTCTGTCTCTGCACAATTTGGCAGCTCTGACATGGATCCCAGTCACTCCCTTGAGTGCCTCACCCTGAACTTGGAGGAGAAGCAGGAACACACAGGCCACGGTGATCAGCTGAGCAAGAATTTGTTTCAGTCCCATGGTTGATGCACGGAGTGTGTGTGAATCATGTAGGACAAGTTAGGTTTTGTCAGAACGCTTCTGAGGTCTAGAGCCGGAGTTTGGACCCAGCAGAGTGTGGGTGGTGCTCTGGGTGGGGCCTGATAGGTTTGAGCTGCAGGAGAGCAATGCTGAGCAGGCTGGGTTTGTGACAGCCATTATCTGCAGACAGGAACTGTGATCACTTCCACACTTTCTGTGTTTCATTTGGTCTCATCTGAAGGTGCTATGTGGCATCTGTAGCCCCTTAAATACAGTGAAGCACCTGAAACCTGCAGTTAGTATGTTTACCGGTGTGATAGTCACAGGTCCAAATACAACATTGGGGATGAAAGGACAGAGCTGAAAGCTGTAAGTGGAGATGACACAAGGGCTTCTCTGAAGTGACACCTTCAGTTACCCACATTAGAGAAGGAACACACTTACTATGGGGTGAAGGGAACAGGAAGAGCTCATATGTGAAGCTACAATTTTCCTCTTAACCCAGAAATTCCTGTTCAGTTTCTGGAATCAAGATTTACTTGGTTTTGCTCTAGTCCCTTAATCTTCATAGTCCTGGTCTGAAAATCTGTATGGATTCTTTCCTGGCTTCAGGGACATTTCTGTATGTGTGTCTACACACATACACATACATGAACTCATATACACATTTATAAAATATATTATTCAGTGAAGAAGAAACTCAAGGGTATTTCTTTGTATATTGGGAGGGTGATGCGAAACTTGCCACAGAAACCTGGAGGAATGAGAGAGAAATAGAAACACACAGAGTCAGAGTATAGAAAGACTGTGATGGAGATGGAAAGGCAGATGGAATCAGAAGTTAGAATCTAAGGAAAGGGCCAGTGAGATGGCTCAGTGGGTAAGGATGCTGTCACCAAGGCTGATAAGCTGAGTGTGATCCCCAGAATCCACATGGCAGGAAGGAAGAACTGACTTTCCAAAGTGTTTCCTCTGCCTTCTACCTATGTGTCACAGTATGTTTGACAAGTGTGCATGTGTGTTTTTGTATGTGTGTGCCCACCCCTCACAGAAACATACACAGACACATACAGATACCCAGGTGCAAATATCCCCCTCTGAGAGAGAGTAAAGGAAAGGAAAGGAGAGGGAGGGAAAGAAGAGGTAGATGGAGAGGGAGAGGGCAAGAGAGAGAGAGAGAGAGAGACACACACAGAGAGAGAGAGAGAGAGAGAGAGAGAGAGAGAGAGAGAGAGAGGAAGAGTAAGAGGGATGGGAGAGGGATAGAGAACAAAATGAAAAAAGAAAAGAAGTCTATGGAGAACAGTTATGTTGACTATCATAAGTAGTCCCAGAACTTGGGAGGTTGAGGCAGGTAGATCCCGAGTTTGATCATAGCATGGGGTTACACAGGAATGTTGTGTGTCACTCAACACAATCCAAATGAGAAAATCATAGCGGTAATAATGCTAACAACAATAATACAAACAAAAGTCCAGGCAAATATATGCAATATGATATAGGTGCATATATGCCTCTTATAGTTCTTTCAGTTGAACCCTATCCCATATAAGATCCACAGTCTTTAAAATAGTTTTCCATTGTAGTGATATATTATTTAGGTTTTATTATTTATTATTTATGATATATTATTTATATATTATTTCTGAGGATTCAGAAACCAGTAAGCTACAGATCATAAATGACAGACACACAGCTTTAATCCCAACAGCCAGACATTAGGAGGTGGTGGTATATACCTTTAATCATAGGCTTCAGGATAAAGAGACAGATGGATCTCTGTGAGTCCAAGGCCACCCAGATCAACTCAAGATTGATCCAGCCCTAAAGAGACACAGCTTACACAAAGATGACCTCAGCACCTGGGATCACCCACCTTTAATCCCAGCATTAGGGATGCATATAAGACATGAACAAGTCCTCATTACCAGACCTTCATTTTCCAGCCACACTGAAGATAGGAAGCACAGTATTCAAGAGGATGGGAAGACGTGGAAGTCTCAGGATTCCCCAGCCATGATGAGGAGAGGTGGCAGTTTGAGGTTTGGTGAAGATCTCATGGGTGGATGGATCATCCTTTTCGGTCTGGGTTTGAGCTGAGAACTATTGGCAAGCTGCTTTGCTTTCCTGATCATCAGCTTGAAGTTTGAACTCCCATAACTGTCTGTGGGTCTTTTATTTTTACACTGAGCTATGGACAAAGCACTCAAAACATGAGCCTGAGGGTCATGTTTTAAATTCAAACCATAGTCACTACAGAGTATAAAAAATACCCTGAATTAGCTGTTGGTGAAATGACCTATGTATTCAGAGAAATAGAAACCATGGCAGTGAGTTTACATTAGTGTAGCTCAGTGAGCCCTGCATGGCAACACTGTCCTGTCAAACACTTTGAAGGCTTGGTATTGGAGCAAGGGTGCTGGACAATCAGTCTGAAAGGCTCCGACACCAGAGGCCAATGCTGGTTCATGTCTGACAAATGTGACAATGAAACCCCACAGACACTAGTGAGGGTAAAAGTTACAGTTTATCATCAGGGAAATGTCTGAGAGTGGGAATGGCGCAAAGGTTCTATGACTTTGACTGATCAAGATCCACAGGGTCCCCACCTGACAGGAAGGGCCCAAAGATCGGTTTGCATTGTCATGTTTTAGCTTAGGCTTTGCAAAGAGCAGGGGGAGACAGGGGGAACAGCATGAGCTGTCAGTCATCACACTGTTAGTTGTCTACTTCTCATTTTTCTACCGGGAACCAGGAAAGTCTTCAGCTGCATTGGGCAGTGTTTGTCAGCAGACACTATGCTTTCAGCAATGAAAGCCTCCAGGATTGAAGCCCCAACCTGACTGCCTGGTGGGGTTCTGCTAGCTACTGGTCTCACCAGGGGCTCAACAGTGCATTAAGATCCCAGCTAGACTATCCCTGTGCTCAGCTTCTTAAACAAGGCTCAACATTAACCTCAGCTATTCCCTGGTGTCCTGGGTAGTCAACACAGAAATTTTTGTTTTCAATCAAAGGTCATGGTACATTATGATTTGTCTTCAGTGGAATGGTTGGGAAAGGTGGACTTTGTTCTGGGAAAACTGGCCCAAGTAGGGCAATATTGTGAGTGGTAGATGGATGGGGAGTTCCTAGGTCCTGTAGGACATAAGACAATACCCCTTAATGACAGAGAATGCACTTTGCAGGATCAACAATACAGACAGAGCAGAATATGGCACCTTTGAGAAGGACAAAATGCAAGAGACTTTGTACTGCTGGGATTTGAAACATTTAAGGGAATCAATCACATGGACTATTAGAAAGATTAGGGGATGAACAAGGAATTAAGAGGCTTGGGAGGATTCATTGAAGGGCAGGAAAACATTTCTATAAATGAGAAGCTTGCTCAGGGTGCCAGGTACAGGAATCTCTTCTGACACCACCCCATTTCTAGGACACACCCCATAGACAAACATTTTCACAGAGGTGGTGGAATTGGCAAGTGTGGTGCTCCATACTGTCTTCAGAAGTCTTGACCAAAGAAGAAACTTCAGAAAACGGACTCTGAGAAACCCAGGTAGTTCCGATCAACACTCTAACTCTTGATGCAGTTTGAAAAATGCCATGAACATGCTTAGATCTGTTTCTACAGGCATCTGTAAAATTTCATATACAGGGACAGTATGTAGGGATTTTTTCACCAGTTGGCATCCTTTGTGGCATATGTCAGAGACCTGTGTGAGCTAATATCTGAAAGCCATGCAATCAAATTTATTTGCTGAAATCTAATTTCTATTAATGCTATTAAGAATTGTGACTCTGAGAAGATCAAGAGTGTCATTGTTCTCTCATACTATTCAATGAGGATGTAACATGAAACCTTTTGAGTCAGAGACCTAACTGTCACCACATGCAAATCTGGTGGCAATTGATTTTTAATTTTTTGGTTCATAAACATGCTTTCAAATTTTTGGTATGTATGTGCTTTCCAGATATATATGAGATGTTCTTACTGTGTTGCTCAGGCTGACCTGAAACTGCTTGAATCATGAATCTTCCTGTCTCAGTCTCTGAAAAGCAGGGGCCACACATACCTACTATAGATCCCAGCTTGCAGTCTGTGAACTCTCAGAATAACAGCCGGAAGAAACAAAATAATTGAACGTTGGGTTATCAGGTTTCTTTATTGGTTACTCTTACAAATAAGAAAGACATGAGACTTGCTGAGAGAACATAGGATTTTGACACAGCCCACTCCCATGGCTTCTGTTTCATATGAAGAATGTCTGGGGCTTGGAGAAGAGGAGAGAAGATGAAAGCAGAAGAAGAAAGGAAGGGAGGAGCCGGGTCCCAGTAGACTGTGAAAGAAGATTGGAACACTTAGGGGATCACACATCTACACAGTCATGGGAGCATTTACATAGTGGGTCTTCAGGGGACCACACATCTTCACAGTCATGGGAGCATTTACATAGTGGGTCTTGTAAAAGGTGTCCCAGCATATTGAGTAACGAGTGACACACCAAGTGTTTGTCATACATGTTGGCCAAATGGGCAAGTGTAGGGGATGGTTGGTTATGTGGTTGTTAGGCTTTAACTAGGATACTCTAAGAATGTTACGCTGACCCCATGTTTACTCAACCCTTCACACCATTCCACTCACAGAGTACTACAACTCTGAGTGATTCTCCTGAGCCCTCTTTACCTGGACCATTTTTGGCAGAGTAGTGGTCCAGAACTGTAGCCTTCTGGCCTTCAGGGCTTGGTCCACTGAGGGCAGGATATCCAGCTTCAGGTATTGCTCATTGTCATCAAACACAGGCCAGTAGGGTAGACCCTCACTGTTGGGGTTCCTGTGGAGAATGGTGAAGGTCATTCTCAACCAATGCCTAATCCCTCAGTGAGTGTCAGGACAGTGGACCAATTGGGCCAATGGTTGAGGACGCTGTTGGGGCATGTGTCCTCCTATAGGGACACAAGTGTCACTTACTGGTGTCTGCTCCATGTGGGGCTAGACAACCTGGCCAATTTCATGTCTCTCTCTCAAACGTCAGATCTAAAGAATAACACCATAGCTCCAGCCAGGTCACTCCAATATGACCAGTAACTAATAGAATGTATCTAAGTGTGCCATTGGCAGAGGAGGACTCTATCATGTGATGAGTTATCCATGTAGGCTAATGAAGCCATTAACCACAAATGGAACCTTACATAAGGACCCAGGGATTTAATGGAGGGGCATGCTCTCACCCATGTCGTGCAAAGTTAGTCCAGTACTTCATCATCCTCCTACTCAGCAGTTCCTCTTCCTTGCTGAAGTCAGCTGTAACCATGGGGAAGACAAAGATCCAAGTTCCATCCATCTGATGCAGCTGCCTATTTTCGCTCCATATTCACCACCCTTCCTACAGCCTGACTTTGAATTCTAGGCCTCTTTCCCTACCCCGTCAAGATTCAGATTCAAGAGCCACCCACACCTCTAACTGAATGCCTCCAGGTTCAGTTATGTTCCAGTGTGTCTTCATTCCATCTAGAATGGACATGGTGGCTCAAATGTTAAGATTTGTATAGACTCATTTATTTGAATGCTTTGTCCCCAGTTAGGGAAACTGTTTGGGAAGGATTAGGAGGTATGGCCTTGTTGGAGGAGGTGTGTTAGTGGAAGTTGGCTTGAGGTTTAAAATTCCAGTCTATTTCAGTTAGCTCTCTCTCTCTCTATGCCTTGTAAATCAGGATGTAAGCTTTTAGTTAGGTACTTTCCCAATGTCATGCCTGCCTGCATGCTGCTATTCTTTCATCCATGATTGTCATGGACTCTGACTAACCCTTTGAAACTGTAAGTCCCAATAAATTCTTTCTTCTATAAGCCACCTTGGTCATAGTGTCTCATCACAGCAATAGAAAAGTAACTAAGACAATAGATTTTACTCCAAAGCGTCCTGAGTCTATTCTTGGCGTAGCTTTATGAACTGGGAAAATGATCCTCTCTGAGAGCCTTGATTTTCTCAACTGGACTGGGACCTCAGTTGCCCATCAGGTACCAATCTGGGGCCCCATGCAGCTCATGGAAAACAAGGAAGACTCACATTTTATGCCCCAGAAGGAAGACCCAAAAACAAAGGGAACTTCATCGCCATGGTCAGCTTTCACATGGGGTGGTCTGACTTCTTTGAAGAAGTTGGTGTCATGACAGAACTCATAAAAGTAGATAGGGGCATGGGAATCTAGAAGTAAGGACACATGGTGACATAGTATTGTCTTACCTGGAGCTTTCCTGCATAACCCTTGGTGACAAAATATGTTGGTATAAAGTTATCTGATGTCATAATTCTAAGTGGGTGACTGCAGGCTGGTGTACTAGTTATGGCAAAGCCTTTGCTAAACAATGTCCATGGCAATGTGAATATTTTTAGTAAATCAATAGAGTATTCCCAATCTATTTCCATATTTGTATCTGGATAAGGTGTCTCTTACACTGGTTTTGATTCCAGAGGCATGATCCAGACATGGATAGGGACCTGGACACTATAGAACTCATCTTGGACCCATAAATCTGAGTTTTCCTAACTTGGCCTCATTACAGATGTACTCACTTTGAAAATTTGCAACTTGGAGTGCAGGGATAATGACAAGGAAATCCCCCATAATTTCCTTGAACTGCATTTGGAGGGTCTGGGTGTCTTCAGTGTCCCCCATGTATTCTTCCATTAGCAGATCACTACACTCAGGAGGTAACATCTACACCAGGGGATCAGGAAGAATGAAGTTAGGCTGGTGTTTGTTTTGACAGGCAGCAGCCTCTGTGTGAAGAATAGGGAAAGTGCTGGGAAGCTTGTTTCTAGGCATGGTGTCTGAGAAGGATATGTATGGGTACTTTTTATTGGAGGCAGTACCCAAGGTGTCTCACCAACTTTGCTGCTGTGCTCTTCAGAACAGCCTGCAAGGTCTCTCTGGTTATGTTCTTTATTGTTTGAGCAGTCCCTGTGGTCTGGGAGACAGGGTGCAGTTTTCAGTGTAAGGTGGAATGTATATGGATCAAGTTTCCACTACCAACCTTATGAGTCCCTAGACTTTCAAGGAATTGGAAGTGTGCTTCACCAAGGGGATAATCCAGCCATATTCGTCATTGTTGACACCAATGATGCTGGGGACAGGGTAATAATCCACAGAAGCCAACAACTCTTGTGGATGTTTGGGTAGGAACTCTCCGTCCACCACAGCAGGGATCGCCTTGAAGACCTGAGGGACATCCAAGGTCAATGGTGAAGATCAATTCCATACGTATTATTTGTCCACTGAGAAATCCTAATCATTATCCACCCCATTCACTGTCTCAAGATGCTTTTCCACCTTGGTAGAATTTCTACATATATTAGGATACTTTGGTATTCATTTTATGCACATGATATAAAGGATACCAAATTATAGTGTAGCCATAATTTATTTAGAGTAATAAGGGCTGATTCTCCCACATCTCATTGAACTGGTCCTCTAAGTCACACAATTCTACCAACCTTGTTAATAGTCAGAATCTCCTCTTCACTCTTGTTTCTCAGACAGTGCACCAGGGTCTCTGAGTCCACAGCCTCACAATCAGATAAGTTGGCTACTGTCTGTAAGGGACCAGCAGGAGTTGATTCATCTTTTTATGCAAGGAGAAGTTTTCTGAATCCTAGTTGAATGGCATTGTGTCCTGATACCACATCATACCTTGTGCTGTTAGATTAGAGTTAGTATGAAATTCCCATGTTCTTGTTGCTCAGATGTGACAGCTAGAGGGGTCATTCTGCCTAAACACTTTAAAAATAAGCTATGTGTGTATGTCCATGAGTGTGTGTGACTTTAGGAGTACCTATACCTTGGTTTGTGTGAGAAGACCAGAGGACAACATTTGGTCTTTAGTCCTCATTTTCCATTTTGTTCGAGATATGAACATTTATTACCTTTTCCTGCTTACAAGAGTCAATCTAACTTGTGACCTTTCCGGAATTCACTGGTCTCTGCCTCCCATCTGACCATTGGAATAATAAGATCACACACACACTTGTTACTACATGCAGATTTTTGTGGTTTCTGGGGAAATTGGTAATGCTTTTACCTATCTAGACATATCTTCATCACACACATACTAGTTTCTGAAAATGATGGACACTACAAGGTACTTATGCATGGTTCTTACTCCCAGCCTGTATAACGTAGAGACAAGTAGATTCTAACCCACGAGTCTCTCAGAATCTCCCAAAAGAAGCTGCTTGTTTTCCCGATTGATAAAACTTCCAGAGCATCAGAGGGAGGGGACTAAGGCTGTAGGGTCATCAGTAGGATGGGTGGAGAGACTCACTGTGTAGACCATGTCAGAAGTGTTGGAGATCAGTACAGGAACCAGGGCCACCCCACTCTCCATGATGGCTCTGTGGAAGAGTCCTTGGGACATGGGGGATAGAACATGTGAAGACACACTTGTGCCTCCTGCAGACTGTCCAAAAATGGTGACACAGTCAGGGTTGCCTCCAAAATTGGCGATATTCTGCCTGACCCAGCGTAGGGCGGCCACTTGGTCAAGGTAGCCCCAGTTGCCTCTGGCATGTTGATCTCCAGTGCTGAGGAGTGGCAGAGAAGGAATCACAGGGCTGTCTTATTTCTGTTTATCCTCTATTGCACAGCACAGGTCAGCCCTAGACTCACCTGAAGAAGCCTAGGATACCCAGACGGTACTGGATAGTGACCACCACCACATCCTCAAGGGCTGCCAGCATGGATCCATTATACACAGAAGCCATGCCCGTTACTAGTCCACCACCATGGATCCATACCATCACCTGTGGAAATCAAGTCAGATGACAGGAACTTCCCACCCAGCTCAAACTCCACCTGGGGTATCTTCTACTTTACCTCATGCTTTGTCTCAGTGTACATAGACACACAGACAAAACTCCTCAGGACATCCTCACCTGGGCCACAGACAGGGTCCTAACATCATCAGTATACTTGCCAGCCCCTCTACATCTCTAAAGACTGAAGCCTAGATTAATGTCTCTAAATATGGAATAATGACACCTTTACTCTCAGAGCCTTTGAAATGAAGAGGGGTGTTTTCATCAGTGACTCTCCATTATTATTAACAAAATTCATTGGCACATAGCTGGTCATTGTGATGTAAGCCTTTAATACCAGACCTGTGGGACCCGGTAGGGTGCCTAAGGATCTTCCCCACTCTCTGTTACCCCCCGATTCTCAGGGTTCCCCAGCAGTGCAACAGAATACCAGTTGAAGCTTCCCTCAACCTGTCTCCCACTGCTGTGAGTCCCTCATACCCCTGCCCCTCTACTGGCTTTCCCTTCCAAACTTACTACTCTATTCCAATCACCATCTTGTGCAGATATTCCCTCCTCAACTGTAGCCTATACCTGGCAGGTGACCAGGTAGACTGCTGTGGACCATTTTCCCTCTCTCTGTTCCCCAGTTCTCAGGTTCACCCATAGCATTGCAACAGATCATCTTCCTCCTGGCCCTTTCCCAGCCTCCAGCACCAACAATCATTCCCTGTGTACACACTGGCTGACCATGTCAGTAAAGGAGACAACACACTATGAAAACCCAGAATGGAAACAGAAACAAAGAAACAAAACACCCACCACACAAAGAAACCAATACTGAGACCTGTGGTCACTCCTAAACCCTGATGAGTAGATCCAACCAATAACAGCCTGGGCAATATGTCTCCAACAGAGCCCAGCTATCCTACCACAGCACGTCCTGAATATTCCAACATAGCTGAAACAAAGACTCTAAAACCAATGATATGAAGATGATAGATATCCTAAAGAGGAAATGGATAAACCATTAAAGAAATCCAGGAAAACAAACAATTGGGGAAATGAATAAATGCCTTAAAGAAAGCCTATCTCTCTCTCTCTCTCTCTCTCTCTCTCTCTCTCTCTCTCTCTCTCTGCCTGTGTGTGATGGGGGGCATTTGAAGAAAACAAATAAAACTGTTCAAAACCTGAAAATGGAAATAAAAACATTAAAGAAAGCACAAGCTGAGGGAATCCTGGAAATGAAAAAATTTGGAATGTGAATAGGAACTACAGAGGAAAACTTCACCAACAGAATGCGAAAGATGGATGAGATAATCTCAGGCATGAAAGATATGATAGAAGAAATGGATACATTGTTCAAAGAAAATGTTCAATCTAACAAGAAATCTGGGACATTATGCAAAGAACAAATCTATGAATAACAGGAGTACAGGAAGGAGGAGAATATCAAATAGTTCAAAGGCCTAGAAAATATCTTCAACAAAATCATAGAAGAAAAATTTCTATTTTGAAGGAAATGCCTATAAAGGTACTAGAAGTATGCAGAACAGCTAATATATTGGACCAGAAAAAATCCCCTTGCCACATAATAATCAAAACACTGAATATACAGAACAAAGAAGGAATATTAAAAGCTGCAGGGAAAAAGACCACGTAACATATAAAGGCAGATCTATGAGACTTACACCTGATTTTTCAATGGGGACTGGGAAAAACTAAAGGTCCTGGATAGATGTGCTGCAGACTTAAGAGGTCACAGATGCCAGTCAAGATTACTATACCCAGCAAAACTTGTAAAAATCATAGATGGAGAAATTAAAATGTTCCATGATGAAGTCAAGTATAAACAGTGTCTATGTACAAATCTGCCCTACACAAGTTTCTAGAAAGCAAAATCCAAACCAAGGAGGTGAACTAGGTACATGAAAACACAGGACATCATCTTACACTGGTAAACAAATAGAATCTCTCTCTCTCTCTAACACACACACACACTCATACACACACATGCACACATGTACACGCAGGCTCTTGCACACACACACACACACCACCACCACCACCACCACCAACACCACCACTGCTATCACTACCATTCCCATCACTACCACCACCAACAAAATAATAGGTATTAACAATCATTCATCATTGCTATCTTGCAATGTTAACAGACTCAATTCCCCAGTAAAAAGACACAAATTAGCAGAACGGATATAGAAACAGGATCCATCCTTCTTGGAGCTCAGATTGATTTTGGCCCTTCTAATCATCCTGAAGAAATGCCCTTCCCCAGCACTGAGTATGGTCTGCTACTCACAGGCAGGTTAGAGCCCTCAAGGGCATGAGCTGGTGTGTAGATGTTGAGATACAGGCAGTCCTCCGATGTAGAGATGGGAGTCACACTGAGTTTCATCATTGCCAGACTCTTTACATTCTCTGTTTCAGAATTTTGTAAGCACCTGGGGACAATGACAATTATTTTATGAGATATTCAGTAGGTAAAAACAGGCCCTGAGTATATATTTGCTCTCAGCCACCAAAATCCCCACACTGTGGTCCCATGAAGTCCTGATAACATGAGATTCTACTGCAAAATCTCTTCCAAACAAGGTAAGGTCCCAGGCTTTGGGAAAACTGGTATGGAGTTTAAATTCCAGTGAGGCTGCCAGATGGATAGGAGCCTTAAATCCCACTCTTTCTGATGATGGGATGTTGGCATTTCCATGAGTTTCTGTGAAAACTATTGCTGTGTATAATTATACCATTTCTCTTTGTATTTTCTACATCCTGGCTATTGGGGTAAATGTTGTGGTGGGACTTCCTTCACCTCATAGCCACACTCTTAAGGAACTGAATTCTCTTGCAGAATCTCTAGTTGGAAGACATATATACTTATTTCTTAGCCAATGGTACCTGGACATTTATGGGTTGGCACAGTGATTGTGGAGGGTGAATTTGCTAAGAAACCATCATCATTTTGGCTTTTTCTCTGACATCTGCAGCATATCCCCATCACAGAGAGAAAGCAGCTGATGGAGATAGCACTGCAGTCTGTCTCAGATGTCTGAGCTACTGCACAGTCTAGGGCCCGATGTTTCCTGGGTCTCAGGAGAACATACCTAGGTGGGTAGGAGGTCCCATCTCTCACACCACTCCATGGTTCGGGAGCCTCAGGGGGTGCAAATCTCAGCTTTCCTAGAGGTGGCTTGGCAAAAGGGATTCCCAGGAAGGTGTGGACAGCCTCTCTGGTGTCATTCAAGTGGACAAGTCTTCCCTGCACCAGTCCTGTGTGTGTAGTCCTAATGGGGCTGGCTGAGTCTTCACCTGTAAATAATATATGGTATCAAGGTTGGGTTTGCTCAATCATCTACCTTCACATTATGGATGTTGTTACTTTCTTGTTATCCTCAACTCAGCATTTTCCAAGTACCTCTGGAAAACTTGTCTACACTGCATCAAGCTCCAGTGTAGCAGAATGTGGCAGATCTGCCCTGTTTCCACAAGAAATGAGAATATTCCACACCTGATAAACTTGGGTTGCACTTTGGTTCTACTTGAAATGCTACCAGGTAACTAAGCCAGCACCTAATCTTAGGGACCAGGGGTCAATTTGCCAACGTCTTTATAATGTTGAAGACTCCCCCCAGTCACCAGCTGACATGCTGTCTACAGGATACCATGCCACATGACATGTCTGTCCATATAGCTCACTGAGGACATGGGTCACTAATACCTGTCACTGCTACAGTGACACACAAAGCCTGCTGAACTTGATCTGATAAGAGTCAAGCTACATCCAGGATGTTTTACCCACCAACAGAAGCTCTCCTCACAATCCCACATATTGAAGTGAAGTATACTTCCAGTCAGGAGGCAGAAGAAAAGCTCAGTATGTGAAAAATAAAAAAAATCCACCCACATTTTCCTTTTCCAGTTTCAAATGGGTCATGGAGTTTATTAAACAGAGATCCTGATTTAGAATGACACATGGGGAAAGGAATACACCACTCTAATCATACATGTAGGTTTCTCAAGAGTCAGTGTCTTTGGAACAGCCATATATACAAAAGGGGGGTCTATGTAGTCAGAAAGAATTATAAGTCATCAAACAAAAGGAATGAAAATCTTCAGTATATCGTTCAGCTCTTATAGCTGAAGATATCATTGGAATGGTCATTGGAATTTGTATAGGTAATAAATGAAAGAAAAACCCTTAGGCATCAGACTGGTAAAGAAAACCTTGCAAGAATATTTTAAGCAACAAATTGAGTTTGATACATGAAGCTTTTATCTTATGTCTTTAGGACAAAATGACAACTTTCTCACACAGGACCAAGTAGTTGATATGGTATTTTATATTTGCCTCTGTGATAACAATAGATCTGATCATAAATAAAGCTATATTTCAGGCCTTTATCTTATGATTCATTTCAGGCTCATCCAGAAAAACAAAAAAGTAGATACAATAAGTAAAATTGGTGAAAAAGAAAGAAAGGAAATACAGTACAATGTAATTCTGCAATGGACAATCAGACACTTTTCTGTGAGAGTAGATTTCCCTGCATAGAATAATAAAATAGCAGAAAATTAAAAAAAGGGGGTCTATGAAAAGTGAAAAAGAAGTAGTAGAAAATCACCCTGTAATTATATCTCAGCAAATATCATCTATGACATATTTAAAACCAAAATGCCATTAATTAGATTGCTATCTGACCATTTATATGATACTTTAAATTCCTGATTTTGCTGTGGTAAGAAATGCTATACAAATTTACTTCCAGAAGTACTCTCTTCTAGATTAGTAATGATTCTGCATTTGTGGCATTGTGTTTTAACACATTTCTACATTTAACTCCCCACTTCCAATAGGTTCTTGCTATAAAGCCCAGGCTGGCTTGCAGTTGAGAAGCCCTCTGCCTTGCCCAGAATATATTATCTTGAGGTCCCTATGGATGATCCTGGCCTGGATGGGATAAAATTCTGTGTCCTCTTACAATTATTGGTGATTCTGAACCCAGGATCCAAACAAGAATGTTCAAGAGTTACATAAGCCAAGTGTGAGTAGGGAAGATCTTCCTGCCCAGAAGTCCCCACTAAATCTTGGAACCTGGACAACAACAGGCAAGAGTCACAGTGTGAAGTCAATGTAGCCTCCTTAGGGTAGATCTCATTGGGAAGGCCTGGCAGGAGGTCAGCATGACCCAGGCTTGAATGCCTGTGGGGAAGAGGCCTCAGGGGTGCACACAGACTCCAGGCACAGTCCCCTGTGGCTCACCTTTTCCTAAGCCTGAAGATTTTCTGTCAGGCACAGAGCACATTCCCTTTACCTTGGAAGCCAAATTGTGTCTTTTTCAAAGGTCTGAAAAATGGGGACAGGAAGCTTGGGATCTCAGTTGGGCAACTGTTGTAGGGCAGGAAAACTTTATGACTGAGAGCCAGGAAACTTTCCCAGGACTTTTTGGAGTAGTCTACCTGGATGCTTCTCTGTTTGTGGGGTAACACATTGGAGTTCAATGGCAGCAGAAAGGTGGATTAATTTTATTATTATCCACAGGTCAGTAGCAGCTAAAGTCACAGGATCAGCACACACAGATGGGAGCATGCCATATCTGCCTCTCTCTCTCCAGCCCTCTGTACTTCTGACTTTCATGCCCAGTACTTGTCAGAGACTCTCCTTACTATTGAGAGTCCTCAGGCATCACTGACTCTGTGCTACAGGGGTTACTTTCCCACTCTGTCATGTCTACCTGCTCCTCCCTACTTGCTACCTTCCCTACCACAGTCTCAGTCTCTGACTCTGCCAAAATTGGCAACTCTGGTTCACACCACCCACATATGGAGCCTCACCTTGCACTCGGAGGAGAAACAGAAGCCCAAAGGCCACCACATTCAGCCAACCAGGAAGTTTGTCCCATGGTGTGATCATCTCTGAAGCCCGAGTCTGTGCTGCTTTGGGATGCACTGTGTGGCATCAGCAGGAAACCGAACATGTGGGCTTTGCCCAGACAGATATTTGGACCCTAAGGGTTATAGGCGGGAGCTCCGTGGGCAGGGCAAAGTTGCAGGAGAGCTGTGATGACTAGACAGAATTGACAGGAGCCTGGGTTCAGCAGGTGGGGCCAATGCTCTTGTGCATTCCTTTTTTGGCCTCATAGCAAGGCACAGCAGGACTTCAGAAGTTCATTGTGGATACCTGCAGCCCTCACTTCAAATCTGGAATCACCATGTTTGCTGTCTTTGGAATCACAGTGTGGGCATTGGGCAGAGAGGAAGGAACATAAAGCCATGGAAGCCATGGCTGTTAGGATAAAGCTTTAGGAACCTTCGTGTATTCTATGGCAGGTGAGGGTGATCGAGGTGGAGAGAGAAACATGGCAGACAGACATAGATTAAGTGAGAAGTTTTATTAGAAAGGGAAGGGATGGAAAGAGAAAAGAGACAGAGAGACAGAGAGGGGACAGAAGGATACAGGAAAAGTCCTGTCTGCCCCAGGGGAACAGGGGGAAAGAGAACAGGAAATAGCTCACTTGTGTGTGAGGGTCGTTCTGTTAGAGGGGTCTTTGCACCTGCATGCTGACCAGGTTACTGCCCGTGTTCATTCTGTCAGGTGACAGGTGCAGGCCAGCATAATGCCTGAGTGAGCACAGGGTGCTGTGAGCACACCCTTTCCTCCAGAACTCCTTGCTTTCTTTGGTCATAGTTCACTGAGTCTGCATTCAGGTCCCTCCTCCCTAACAGTGGTGATCCTAAGTCCACACATACCTTCCCTGTGAAGCCATGGCTAATTCAGTGAAACTCACTGCAACTGTGGCAATTTATTGTTTTCTTTTTATTACATAATATTGTTTTTTATGACACTTGATACATGTATGCAATGTTTTTACTCTCATGTATCCCCAGAATCCCCTTTCTTCTCCATATGCTACATTGATTTTTAAATATTTTCAATTTTTAAATTTATTTTCAAGGTTTTACCTACATGCTATAGAGGCCCAAAATATTTTGGATTTCCTGGAGCTAGAGTAATGATTATTAGCTGCCATGTAGCTGAACGGAACTCAGCTTCTCTGCAAGAACAGGCACCTCTCCAGCCCCAATTTTGCTTTCATGTTCTCTCTCTCTTTCACTTCTTCTCTTCCTACCCCATCCCTGGTTCATTTTTTCTTTTGAAGATTGTATTTATTTGTTACATATACAGTTGTCTACCTGTATGTTTGCCTGCACACCAGAAGAGGGCACCAGCTCTTATTTTAGATGGTTGTGAGCCACCATGTGGTTTTTGGGAATTGAAGTCATGACCTTTGGAAGAGCAGCCCATGCTCTTAACCTGTGAGCCATCCCTCCAGCCCCTGGTTCTTTTTTTGTTTTGTTTTGTTTTTTTTTAAAGACAGATGTGACTTATTTTATTCATCAGTACATGAGCCACCAGGCACATGCTAGTAGGCACCCAGGCAAAATGCGACTCAAGAAGTAGGCACACATGCTTACAGATAGGTGACACATATAAACAGGCTGGTGAAGACGTAGTTATGGCCTCAACTAATCAGCAAATCAAGTCAGCCCATTTACAGTTTCATGGCAAAGCCTTTACCTATCTCAACAATGTCTCTACCATAACTAGTAAATATTTGGTCTGTTTTACGTGTAGCTTGTGGATAAAATCAATTCCCCTGTCATGGTCAGATTTACCCTGATAGCAGTGTCCTGATGTACCTGGGGCATGCCAGCTTAGATGACTAAAATACCCTTGGGCAAAGGGTTCTGTCCTACTATATGGAGAATGCTCTCAAAAAGACAACCCTGGGAAAAGAGGGCCTACAAAGTCAGAGGAAGGAGTGAGAGAGTGTGTAAAAAAGAGGTGAGGAAGGGACCTGGACCAGGAAGAGATGGAGGAAGCCAAGCATCCTTTGTTTGCAGCTTCCGGGGGAACTTATTGTGTGTACAAGAGCAGGCTCTTAGAAGGCTTAATAGTAAATACCATGCAGATTGTACTTTGTGACTGCTGACTGAAAGGAGAAGTAAAGAGGGTGGGGTGAAAGACTATGTAAGTGATGGTGCTATCTTAGCCCTAGGTGGCCATGTGGACACCTCAGACTTACCCCAGCTGCACTCTAGCCACACCACTGACCGAGGGCACTAATGTTCTGTGCAGTTCCTGATTACAGAAAATCATGTCTGAAAATGTCATAACAGCTTTGTGAAAGGGAACAAAGACCTAGGCTTGGTGTTGCTTTTTTCTAATTCCTGTATTTGGGAGGTAGATGTTGCCAGCGTGAATCTATCATAAATGGAAGCCATTCCTATAACCAGAGCACCACCATTGATCCACACCATCACCTGGAGAAGTCAAAACAGATGTAAGGAAGGTCCTAGACAGCCCAAAATCTGCTGGACTTACTAGAATAAGAACTGAATGGACTATACAACTACATAACATCCTCAGAACTTCAGGACCTTGGTCATATACAGGAACATCTAAGTAGCCTCACCAGGGTGTTTCTAGTCCCTATTTCTATCATGTATCTCAGTATGAATTAATGGCTCTATGCATAGAGTAATCTCATCATCATTCAGACCTCATAGTGGAACTAAGATGGGTATCTCCATGTACATCTCTGCAGATGAAAAAAAAAAAAAAAAAAAAAAAAAGGAAAGGATTATCGGGACCTCAATGTTGTATCTTGAGCATCGAAGCGTTTCTGCAGGGCTCAGGTTGTAGAATGAGTCCTGGTTTTATCAAAGAGCTAGAGCCTTTGTTCTTTGCATAGCTATGTGTTCCATATCTAGGTTTCAGCTGCATAGTGTGACCAAGAGGGCCTTTATTTGGACACAAATTTGGTAACATTTTTATAGAATCCACACTGAAATGGAGTACTCTTTCTAATCTAATCTAATATTTGCTCTTTCTAATCATCTTGAAAAACATTCCATATCCCCAAGGTGACCTTGGCCTGACACTTAAAGGGAGGTTAGAGACCTCATGGGCATGAGCTGGTGCATAGACGTTGAGATACAGGCAGTCCTCAGACAAAGGGATGGGAGGCAGGGTCATTTTAAAATTCTTTAGGCTTTCTGAATTTATCATGTCATTTTGCAGACAATTGGTAAAACAGGGAGAGAGTTATTCCAGCTGATGTATGGTGGTCAAAACCAAATATGAGCCTGGGTTTTCTTTTTCTCAGTCATCTTCAGCTGCTGCTCCTCCTCATGATTCCTATTATCACATGCTATTCATCTGAAGTTTCTTCCCACAAGGTAAAGGCCACAGGCTCCTTGAAAGCTGGAATGGAGCTAGAATTCAAGGAAGTCATCCAGTTGGGTAGGGCATGGATGTTAGTCTTTCTGAGCCTGGGATACATAGACTTCTAGGTGTTTGGGTGGAAATGGTTGTCTGTATATGGTGACATTCACTGAATTGTGTAAGGATAGAAACATGACTTAAGCATTAGCCGACATGCAAGCAGTTTCTACTCTCCGTTCCTGGTTATGGATGTGATATGTCTAGCATCAAAATGAATGATGAGAAGCTTAAGGCGATTCCTCTAAAATCAGAAAGAAGACATGGCTGCCCATTCTCTCCATATCTCCTCAATATTGTACTTGAAGTTCTAGCTATAACAATAAGACAACAAAAGGATATCAAGGGGATACATATTGGGAGAGAGGTTGTCAAACTGTCACTATTTGCAGATGATAGGGTAGTTTACATAAGTGACCCCAAAAAACTCTTCCAGGGAACTACTATAGCTGATAAACACATTCATCAAATTAGCAGGATACAACATTAACTAAAAAAAAAATCAGTGGTCCTACTATTTACAAACAATAAAGGGGCTGAGAAAGAAATCAGAGAAATATCACCCTTTACAATAGCCACAAACAATATAAAGCACCTAGGATAACATTAACCAAACAAGTGAAAGACCTATATAGCAAGAACTTTGTGTCTTTAAAGAAAGAAATTAAAGAGAATACTAGAAAATGGAAAGATCTCCCATGCTCTTGGATAGTTAGGATAAACATAGTAAAAATAGCAATCTTGCCAAAAGCAGTCTACAGATTCAATGCAATCCCCATCAAAATCTCAGCACAATTCAATGATCTTGTAATCAACCTTTATATGGAAAAAACAAAAGACCCAATATAGCCAGAACAACATTGTACAATATAGGAATTTCTGGAGGCATCACCATCCCCGACTTCAAGCTCTACAATAGAGCTATAGTCCTGAAAACAGCTTGGTATTGGCACAAAAATAGACAGGTAGACCAATGAAATGAAATAAATTCTGATATTAATCCACATATCTATGGACACTTGATTTTTAACAAAACAGCTAAAAGTATACAATGGAAGAACAAAAGCATCTTCAACAAATGTACTAGCACTAATGGATGATGATGTGTAGAAGATTGCAGATAGACCCATTTCTATCATGATGCACAAAACTTAAGTCTGAATTGATCAAAGACTTCAACATAAATCCAGCCACACTGAACTTCTTCAAGAGAAAATGGGAGGTACCTTTGAACAAATTGGTACAGGAGATGGCTTCCTGAACGTAATTCCAGTAGCATAACTTTAATAGCACAGACACTGAGATCGACAATTAATAAATGGGACCTCCTCAAACTGAGAAGCTTCTGTAAGGCAAAGGACATGGTAGGCATGACCAAACGGCTACCCACAGACTGGGAAAAGATTTTCACCAACCCTACATCTGACAGAGGGCTGATCTCTAAAATATACACGGAACTCAAGAAACTAGTCATCAAAGCTCCAAATAACCCTGTTAAAAATTGAGGTAGAGAACTAAGTAGAGAAGTCTCAATAGAGGAATCCAAAATGTCTGAAAAATACTTAAGAAAGTGCTCAACATCCTTAGCCACCAGGGAAATGCAAATAAAAACTATGCTGAGATACCATCTTGAACTTCATTTAAAAAATAATGACAATATCAGCCATTATTTATTATTGTTATTTGAGAGAGACAGAGAGAGAGAGAGAGAGAGAGAGAGAGAGAGAGAGAGAGAGAGAGAGAGAGAGAGAGAGA